GTGCTTGGCCTACAGAAGGCACTTAATAAATACTTGACTAAATAAATGAATGAATGAACAAATAAATCCATCATCTACTCCCAAGTCTATAGGTTCTTTCCCCGCACAGACAACTTCCACACATTCTGTCTCCGGCTCCACATCTGATCGCTAACTGCCTCCGGATGCCACCCCCTGAATGTCCCAAAGTCACAGAAAACCTAGACATCCCAGGTGAAAAACATCACCTTCCCAAGCTGTCCCCTCTGGGGTCTACCATGTTGGTGACAGCTGCAATACTCCCTTGATCTCTCCTAGGCCAGCGAATTCTGTTTCTCACCCCCCTGGCTCTGTCACCTGCCAGGTTCTGTCTCTTCAGGCCTCCAGTCACTCTGTTCCCACAGCAACTAGGGTAACAGAATGAAATGTGATTTCCCTGGAGTCACCTGATCCTGAGAGAGCCCAGCAGAATCATCACCCAGTAAGTAATAAAAACACGAATCCCTCCCTCTACACAAACACCCACATGTTGACAGAGCACTTGTGCAGACATTATGTCACCGAATTTTCACAACTCCAGGATTGGATGTCATTATTCCCAATGGACACATGAGAAAACAGGTTTAGAGAAATTAAACAATTTGCTTGAGGTCACCGAGTAAGAGGGAGAGCTGGAGGCTTGAATCTAGGTCCCAAGACTAAAACTGTCAGCAACCTGTATCTATCACAGTTTAAAAGACAGGTTGGGTGCAGCAGCTCATGCCTGTATAATCCCAACAATTCAGGAGGCCAAGAAAGGCAGATCTACTTGAGGTGAGGAGTTTTGAGACCAGCCTGGCCAACATGGCAAAACCCAGTCTCTACTAAACATACAAAAATTAACCAGGCATGGTGGCACATGCCTGTAAATTCCAGCTACTCAGAAGGTTGAGACAGGAGAATCACTTGAACCTGGGAAGTGGAGGCCACTAGTTGACAGGCGCTAAACACTGACATCAATTGGGACGGATTAGATGATGTTACAGTAACAAAGAAATCCCTAATCTCAGTGGTTTAAAACAACAAAGTCATATTAACTAGCACTGTAATAATGCTGTGTAGCACACTATCCTAAAACTGTGACCTTTTTTGTTTGGTTGCTTTTTGGGTTTTTTTGTTTGTTGGTTTTGTTTATTTGTTTGTTTTTGAGATTGTCTTACTCTGTCTCCCAGGTTGGAGTGAAGTGAAACCACCATAGCTCAATGCAGCAACAACTTCATGGGCTCAATCGATCCTCCCCACTCAGCCTCCCTAGTAGCTGGGACTACAGGCATGTGCTACCACGCCCAGCTATTTTTTGTATTTTTTTGTAGAGACAGGGTTTCCCCACATTACCCAGGCTGGTCTCAAACTCCTGGGTTCAAGTGACCCACCCACCTCGGCCTCCCAACATGAAAACTGAAACTTATACCAACAAGCATTCTTCTAAGGGTTTGTGGGACGGCTGCCTTGGCTGCACTTTGGGAGGATTCAGGTCTCTTCCATGAGATTCCACAGTTTTCTGGGGTCAGCAACAACCTGGCAAAATGTTTTCATGGCAGATCATGGGAGTACAAAAGCCAAGTGCATTTAAGGCCCCTGCTGAAGTTAGGTGTGCTCAAATTCCATTGAGGAAATCATATGGTCAAACCCATCAATGGAGCAGCGAAATATACTCCCCCTCCAGTGGGAGGGAGAGAAGTGGATACATGCTGAATGACTGCCCATTCACAAAAGGTTAATTTTTCCTTGACGCTAGCACTATCCAGAGTGTTCTGCTCCTCACAGTCATAAAGCCCCTACTGAGCCAGGAACGATGGCAAATACATCATCCCAGCACTTTGGGAGGCTGACGCAGGTGTATCGCTTGAGCCCAGGTGTTTGAAACCAGCCTGGAAACATGGTGGAAACGCCACCTCTAAAAAAATATATAAAAAGACTAGCGAGGCATGGGTATACACCTGTAGTCCCAGCTACTCAAGAGACTGACGCAAGAGGACCGCTTGAGCCCGGGAGGTGGAGGTTACAGTGAGCCAAGCCAAGATTGTGCCACTGCACTATCGCTGCCTAACAGCGTGAGACTCTGTCTCAATAAACAAATAAAAGATTGACTGTCAGACAAGTTGTATAACTTCTTTGGGCCTCAGTTTCCTCATCTGTTAAACTGGGGATAATAACAGACCCTGTCTCATGGGGTTTTTTATGAGGACTCACTGAGCTAATCCGGAAGTGAGGTGTGTAGAGCAGTGACTGGCAGGTAATGTTCAAAAATGTTAGCTCTCATTATTATTTTTTTATTTTTTATTTTTTGGGGGGGTCTCCTTCCATTGCCCAGGCTGGAGTGCAGTGGTGCAATCTCAGCTCACTGTAGCCTCCATTTCTTGGGCTCAAGCAATCCTCTCACCTCAGACTCCCCAGTAGCTTGGATTACAGGTGTACATCCTCCCGCTTGGCTAATTTATAAAATTTTTGTAGAGACAACATCACAGTATATTGCTCATGCTGGTCGCAAACTCCTGGGCTCATGAGATCCTCCAGCTTCAGCCTCCCAAAGTGCTGTGATTACAGGTGTGAACCACCACACCTGGCCTATTATTCTTTAAAAAACAATTATTTTAATAAAAGTAGAGACAGGGTCGTGATACGTTGCCCAGGCTGGTCTGGAACTCCTGAGCTCAAGTAATCCTCTCACCTCAGCCTCTGGAAGTGCTGGGATTACAGGCGTGAGCCACCATAGCCGGCTAGTTTATCCTTCTTTGAAGTGGAGTTGATTGGCTTAGATGACCTTCCTGGATACCTTCCAGTCCTGAGCCCACTGGCTGCAGGAGGCAGGGTACGTTGCAATAATTCATTTTGTTCCAGCTAAGGAAACTGTGACCCAGAAAGTAGAAGGCAGCTACCCAGACCACACGCTGATTCCTGTGGTCATCCTGGACCTAATCTTTGGGTCTCCTTTCCTCTCTGCTGAGGGGCGCAGGGATTATGCTGCCCATTTTCCAGGTAAGGAGACTGAGGCCCAGCAAAGAAAGTGACTCAACCCACTGCCAGTTGGCTCAGAAGCAGAATCCGGATCCCCCCGGACTCCAGATTCCTAGTGAGGGGGAGGTGGGGTGGCAGGATCACCTGTAGGACCACAGAGATGGTCTTCTCGCCTGCCTTGGCTGCGCGCCATTTTCGGTAAGTGTCTGCCTTGAGAAGATTTTCTGCACAGTGGGTCTGGAAACAAGAATGGGAAAGGAGAATTAGGGCACAGAGATGACAGCTAGGCCTCCAGCTCTCAGATGATTCCTTAGAGTCCTCCCAAGGCCTCTATGATCCTCCGGCTTTAAGCTCCCCCGTTAATCCCCCCACACTCTGCCTGGAGTTTCCCCTACAACACTTTCCCGTGGAAGTTCACCTGCGGGCTCTCCAGGAAAGCTTCCCTATTCCTCCTTTTCTCTCCGGAAGTTCCCTAGAGGCCAAAATGTCCCTGATTCAACATCTCTCCACAACTCAGTTTTAGCCTCCTGGAAATCCCCCCACTGACTCTCCTTAGACTTCCAAGAAGGACCCCAAAAGTTCTTTAAGGAGCTATCCTCATTAATTCCCTCACGTCTCCCAACCCCCCCCCACCCCACGCAGGTCCCTCACCGAGTCCTGGCTGCTGCAGGACACGACATGGCGGAGGCGGATCTCCGGCATGTCAACTTCGTGGGCTTCACTTGGCCAGAGGGATGAGGTACGGTCTGGGGTCCGAGGGGCAAGGAAGGTGGGAGGCGGTGGGGTGCACCCTACTCAGGCTCAAGTGCGCAAGCGCACGAGACTCGGGCCTTTCAAACCCCGGCGCGCCGGCGCTAACGTCGACACTGCGCAAGCTCAGTCGCGCCTCTCCAGAGCAGGACGTGCACTGCGTTCCTTAGCAACGAGCGTTTCCCGCAGCCCCGCCTCCCTCTGCCACACACCCCCGCTCTAGCCCCGCCTCCCGATGACGTCCGCACCCTGCTTTCTGGGCGCGCCTAGCAACAGAAGCGACCTCTGGGATTGGTGTCTAGAAGAAATTCGCGATTCTCATTGGACGATGCAGTCACCGCCCATACTGGAGCCTAGAAAGCAAATATTTTTGATGTATTATTATTATTATTTATTATTTTAAATTTTTTGTTGAGGCAGGGTCTTGATCTCTCACCCAGGATGGAGTGCAGTGGCAGGATCTCGGGTCCCTGCAACCTCTGTCTCCTGAGCTCAAGAGATCCTCCCACTTCAGCCTCCTAAACTGGGATTACAGGCACGCACCACCACATTCGGCTAATTTTTTTATTTTTTGTGGAGACGGCGGAGGGGTGAGTGGGCGGCGGGTCTTGCCATGATGCTCAGACTGGTATCGAACTCCTGAGCTCAAGCGATCCGCCTGCCTTGGCCTCCCCAAGTGCTGGAACTACAGGCGTGAGCCACCGCACTGAGCTAGGACAGCAAATCTGAATGAATTTTCGTAGTTTCGTAGGGAACCTGGATCCTACGCAACAGGATCTTCTCCAACAGCTCAGGCGGCTGCACTCTTCCCTCTGTCCCCCTGCCACACACACACACACGCACACACACACGAAAAAATTCTCAGATCTCTCTCAGCCTTACGACTGAGGCCAAAAGAGAAGGTTTCAGAGTCCTAAATATAACAAAAAGCATATGCCCAAACCACATACACACACACACGAGCGCGCACCCCTACCCTAGAATGCTTCCACAAAAGCCTCAGTTTCCCAATATGTGGCCTGGGAGCATTTGTCTTTCACTACGCCCGCCTACGACTGCTGACAGGCATCCCTCTGTTCGTTCCGTCCCTTGGAGACCCAAGGGTGCAGCCTTGGGTGACGTTGCAGCTGGAGACAGCCCAAACATACAGGGAGTGTGAGCCAAGCACATGAAGAGAAGGGAAGGGAGACAAAGCACCTGGCACCCGAAGGACCAGCCTGGACATGATGTATGCCCCAAGGTAGGGCCCCACCCACACTGGGTGCTTCCTTGGGAGGAGAGGGGAAGAGAGAGGAGAGGGAATCCCAGTTCCTGCAGCCGCTGGGAATCAAGTGGCCCAACTCCATCTTGGTCTTCAAGCAAGCAAACAAACAAAAATGGGCAGTGGGAAGGTGGAAAACAGGGAAGTAACATTCTGGGTTCTAATGGAAGAGGGGACTGGAAGCCCAGACTTGTGGGGTCTCCATGGTGGTGGGGGCTGGGCACAAGATGCCCAGGTCACTTTTGGATTCTGGTTCCGCCTTCCCAATCTGGAGGCAACAGAGGACTGCCCCGGGTTCTGACCTCAACTATTTCTCCCCGCAGGGTGAATGTGGGTCTGGACCCGCCCCTCCTCAGCTTCCTATAAAAGCTGGGGACTGAGTACTGCTGGTACACACACCATGAGGCCCTCCAGGAGACCGGGAACCTTTCTGCTGCCCTTTGTGCTGCTCTGCACCCTCCTGGGTCTTGGTAAGTGACAAGAGACCTAGACTCTTTCTGGGACCTCAGGAAAGAGAAGACTACGAGAGAGCCTTCAGCAAGTCCTCTAAGTGAACGGGGAGGAATTCTGGATATTCAGATTCATTGAAGAGGCCAAGGGTAGAGGAAGAGAAAGCCTGGGGGTGCCAGAGAAGAAAGGCTCCTGTGATTGGATCCCTGAAAGAGGGGCTTGGTGGGCTCTGAATCCTCCACCCTCCAGGAAGGGTCCCAGATAAGACCTCTCAATTCTAGGAAATCAGATGAGAGCATGGCTGGAAAGGGAAATCATTAAAACATAATTTTTCAAAAAGAGAGAGAAGGTCAGGTGTGGTGACTCATGCCTGTAACCCCAGCACTTTAAGAGGCTGAGGCGGGTGGATCACTTGAGGTCAGGAGTTTGAGACCAGCCTGGCCAGCATGATGAAACCCCGTCTTTACTAAAAATACAAAGAAAGTTAGCCAAGGGTGGTGGCGGGTGCCTGTAATCCTAGCTACTTGGGAGGCTGAGGTGGGAGGATTGCTTGAAACTGGGAGGCGAAGGTTGCAGTGAGCTGAGATCACACCGCTGCACACTCCAGTCTGGGAGACAGAACAAAACTCCATCTCAAAAATAATAATAATAAGTGAATAGGATAGAATAGAATAGAATGGAATAGAATATAATTTCTTTTCTTTTTTTTTTTTTTTTTTTGACACTAGACTGGATCAGAAAGAATAGAATTTTTTAAACAGAAGGAGAGAGATTTTCTTTCTCCTTAGACAAAGGAGTTCCGGCCCCAGCCCTCTCCTCCCCTCCCCACGGGAGTCCAGATAAGCCTCACTTTCCCCAGGACCCAGGTATCTGGGCCCCTAGTTGTCCCCTCTCTCAGGACCAAGGAGTTCATGTCCTCTGTCCTCCTGGTTCTCACTCTCCCTCCTTGACCTAGAGTGCAGACCCCCGCCTCAGGGCCCCCTGCCTGAGCTCCCACTCTCTACAAGACCTACGTGGTACCTTCAAGGAGGAGAATCCCATATTCAAGAATCAGCTGGACCTGAAGTTTCACAAAAGTCCATGGAAACCTCCGCCATGGCCCCTGCTGCCCCTGAGCTTTCTCAGAGGACCCTGGCATCCAAAATTGCCAGCCATGTAATTAGGCAGACAGACTTCATGGCGGAGCTGCTTCCCACCCCTGGAAGCAGCTTTGCTGGCATCACCACTGCTTCCTCGTCAGACTCTGGACAGTTCCTTGGGCAGCGGTCAACACCCCGCCCAAGAAAGGCCAGGAGCCACTGGTCCCTCCATTCTTGGGACACAAAAGTCCAAAGTTAAAGTCATGGTCTGAAGACCACACCACCCATGACTACAGCCTCGCCCTCTGTCTACACTGCAGGGTACCCACTACGCTGTGAAGTCTGTAAGGCAACCGGGAGCAGCTGCCATGGCAAAATGAAGACCTGCAGGAGCGACCAGAACTCATGCGTGATCCTGGTGGGGAAGGCTAATTCAAGTAAGAGGCCGGGACCTGGGACTGGTGGGGAGGTGGGGGGTACCTTCAGGGTGGAAGATAACTACCACACAGAGGGGGGATCGTCACGGTTCTCAGGATGGGGGAGCGTGGGAAGAAATCAGTGGAGAGCAGGAAAGAGGGAAAGACCATCATGAGATGGAGAGAAGAGAAATAAACGGTGCGATAGCAATCATTATTGTCACAGGATTCTGAAAATGAGACTGTTCTAAAGAGAAGGAGAATGGGGGAGGGGCGAGAGTTCAGCGCTTTCTTAAGCAGAAGAGGGGTAAGGAAAGACATGGGAAGGAACAGAAATCGTGAGAGGGGAAGAATATAACAGGCAGGAGGTGGAAATGGTGGGGAGTGGATAGAGAAGGAAGAGGCTGGGCTGGGGTGGAGAATGTGAGTGTAATCGGGGAATAGATCACTCCTGACCGAGGGAGGAGAGACGATGCTGGACTGCTGGAGTAGTGGGAGAGACTGAAAAGGGACCACCCAAACAGGAGAGGGACAATAACCGTGAAGTATGGAGAAAATCATCTTTTTTATTGTTATTATTTGTTGAGACTGAGTCTCACTCTGTCACCCAGGATGGAGTGCAGTGGCACGATCTCTGCTCACTGCAACCTCCACCTCCCAGGTTCAAGTGGTTCTCCTGCCTCAGCCTCTGGAGTAGCTGGAATTACAGGTGTGTGCCACCATGCCTGGCTGATTTTTGTATTTTTTAGTAGAGACGGGGTTTCACCATGTTGGCCAGGCTGGTCTCAAACTCCTGACCTCAAGTGATCCTCCTACCTCGGCCTCCCAAAGTGCTGGGATTACAGGCATGAACCACCATGCTCTACTGAGCAAATCATTTTAAAGAGGAGAAGCAGACAGGGAAGGGGAGATGTGGGTGAGTAAAATGAAAGGGACGCCGGGTGCAGTGGTTCACACCTGTAATCCCAGCACTGTGGGAGGCCGAGGTGGGAGGATCGCTTCAACCCAGGAGTTTGAGATCAGCCTGAACAACAAAAAGAGACCCCATCTCTACAGAAAAAAAAAAAAAATCAGTTGGACATGGTGGCACATGCTTGTAGTCCCAGCCACTTGGGAGGCTGAGGCAGGAGGATCACTTGAGCTTGGAGATAGAGGCTGTAGTAAGCTAAGTGCACATCACTGCATTCCAGCCTGGGCGACAGAGGGAAATCCTGTCTCAGAAAATAAAATGGAAGAGAGAAGATGGGCATGAGTTCAATGAAAGAGACCACCCCAGACCTGAAAAAGGATGCAGGGGAAAGGGAGCAGTGGAAGAGACCACTGGGGGACAGCAATGTTTATGCAAAGCTGAAAGAGACCTTTAGTCACAGGGGGACAGATGATGGGGCCTGGTGAGGGAATGAAGGCTGTGGCAGATGAAGGGCGACTTTGAGGGCAGGAAGAAACCACTGGTCGGGAGGGGCTGAGAAAGGAAAGTGGGTTAGAAAGGAAAGCGGAATGGAAGATCCCCCAGCCAGCGTTGATGAGTTAGGCAAGGACCTGAAAGGCTTGAAGAGATCCCCCAGAAGAGGAAACGCACCCTGGGGAAGGGAAGAGAGAGAGAGCTGGGGGACCCCTCGATGGGGTCGAGGGGGAACCTGTGAATTGGGTAGGAAGAGCCCACCACATGGTGGAGAGGGGGAAGGCCGGGGAGACTGGGAGAACCCACCTTAAACAAGACCTGAAAAGAGCCAAGAGGGACTGCAAGGGACCCTCGATGGGAGGTCTGAGGAGTGGCCATGGCAGGATCTGAGAGAGAAGGGTGAGTGTCGCTGGGACTGGGGTTCGTTGGAAGAGACCCCCAGGGTGGGCTGGGCGGGGAGTTGTGAAGGCTGGAAGAGACCATTTCACGCAGGCATGGGGGTGGCCATAGGCGGCCTGAAATAGAGCAATCCTGGCAGGACAGGGAGAGAGGGATGGCCGTGGTGGGGTGGGGTGGAAGGGACCACGTCAGACAGGCTGAGGTTGGCAATGGGGAGCTGGAAGAGACCACCAAACGCTGACCAGGGGCTTTGGCAGCGGGAGGAAGGGCGATCTAAGAAACCACCCCAGGCCATGCACCAGAGAGATTAGGCGGCCGGCCTCTAGCTGGCTTCAAAGAGATCGCCGGCTGGGCCGGTAGCAGTGGCTCACGCCTGTAATCCCAGCACTTTGGGAGGTCGAGTGGGAGCCGATCACCTGAGGTCAGGAGTTCGAGACCAGCCTGGCCAACATGGTGAAACCCTGTCTCTGCTAAAAAACACAAAAAAATTAGCCGGGTGTGGTGGCGGGCACCTGTGATCCCAGCTACTCTGGAGGCTGAGGCAGGAGAATCGCTTGAATCCGGGAGGCGGACGTTGCAGTGAGCTGAGATCGCGCCACTGCATTCCAGCCTCGGAGTTAGACTCCGTCTCAAAAAAAAAGAAAAGAAAAGAAAAGAAAAGAAAAGAAAAAGAAAGAGACCTCCCCAGGAAGTTGTGGGGTTGGGGAAGCCTAGGGTTAGGTGGGACATTGAGGTAGTGATTGAGACCAGGGAGTGGCCAACCAGCTCCCTCCCCGCCTGTCCCCCATCCTGCAGAGGGCAAGGAGTGGGTGCACACCTACAAGGGTTGCACGAGGTCCCAGGACTGCTACTCCGGCATCGTATCCACCACCATGGGCCCCCAGGACTACTTGGCAACCAACTCCTTCTGCTGCCAGAGCGACAGCTGCAACAGTGGCTTTTTGTCTGGTAAGCGCCAGCCCAGCCCTGCCCCAGGAGCCTGTGGCCCGTGGTGCGAGCTCTGGCTCTCTGCTAACCCTTGCTGTAGCCACTTGCTAGCTCTAAGCCTGTTTCCTAACCTGTAAAATGCAGCATCCATTAGCAACCCTGGGGTTGCTGGGAGGTTGGGGGAAGGGCTTAAACATCCCTGTTCACCTGACGCTTCATCCTTATCCTCAGTTCCCTTGATCAATCGTACTGAGAACGGCCTGATGTGCCCCGCCTGCACTTCGATCTTCAAGGACAAATGCATGGGGCCCATGACCCGCTGTGCTGGCAAGGAAAACTACTGCACCTCCTTATCTGGACACGTGCAGGCTGGTGAGGGGTGCCTGGATCTCTGGAGGAGGAAACAGAACTAGAGGCCCCAGCTTTTAGGTTCCATGGGAGGAGAGGGTTCCAGAGAAGTGGGTGAGGATGTGTTCAGGGATTATGAGAAAGAAGGGGCTGAGGTCCCTGATTGCAATCCGAAATCTCCCTTGCAGGTATCTTCAAACCCAGATTTGCCATGCGGGGCTGTGCTACAGAGAGTATATGCTACGCCAATCCAGGTGCTGAAGTGCCCACAGCCTCCCACGTCCTCATCCTCAGCCGAACAGAGTGCAGTCGGGCCCCCACGCCACAGGCCTGGAGAGCTCACTGAACCGAGGAAGATAGAGGTGGCGTGAAGTCCCCATTTGTCCTGAGCCTGTAGCTCCCTATATGTCTGTAAATTAAAGAAGTTCGTAGACCAAGCCTGGGTCTTTGTGATGTGGTATCTGTTGAGGAGACAGAATGAGGAAGTAGGGGCTCTCGATACTCTTTTCAAATCCCCTCCTTTTGAGGAAGAGAAGGAAGGCCCTGCCTTTTTTTTTTTTTTTTTTTTTTTTTTGAGGCAGGGTCTTACTCTGTCGCCCAGTCTGGAGTGCAGTGGCACAATCATGGCTCCCTGCAGCCTTGACCCCCCCAGGCTCAGGTGATTCTCCCACCTCAGCCTCTCTAGTAGCTGGGACTACAGGCATACACTACCACACCCGGCTAATTCTTTATAGCAACAGGGTTTCACCATATTGCCCAGGTTGGGCAACGTGCCATCCTTGGCCTCCCAAAGTGCTGGGATGACAGGTGTGAACCACCGTGCTTGGCAGCCCTGCCTTTTATGGAGGGATTAATCCTTTGCCAGTTACCTATGCTGTGTTTTCCATCCTATACCTCATTTCATGATCATAACAAGTCTGTGAGGTTGATAGTGTTATCCCCACTCTATAGATAAACAAACTGAGGCATAGATCGTGGGTGTCACTTGCCTTGGGTCAAACAACTAGAGAGGGTCAGAACCTTGATTTGAACCCATGTCTGGTATACTGCAGAGTCCATGATCATCTCTTTCAATTAACTTCTCATTAGAGAAGATTGTTGTAAACTCGTAAGATTGTTGTAAGAGTCAAATGAGAGCCAACTTTAAAAAGCACTTAGTGCAGGCCAGGCATGGTGGCTTATGCCTGTAATCCCAGCACTTTGGGAGGCCAAGGCGGGCAGATCACCTGACGTTGGGAGTTTGAGACCAGCCGGACCAACATGGAGAAAGCCCATCCCTACTAAAAATAGAAAGTCAACCAGATGTGGTGGTACATACCTGTAATCCCAGCTACTTGGGAGGCTGAGGCAGGAGAATCACTTGAACTCAGGAAGCGGAGGCTGCGGTGAGCTGAGATCGTGCCATTGCACTCCAGCCTGGGCAACAAGAAGCAAACTTCATCTCAAAAAAAAAAAAAAAATGGCGCTTAGTACAATGCCTAGCACCTTTAAGACCATGTGGATTCTAAAGACAATGTGTGCCCGAGTAAACAGTAATCATCATAATAGCTGCCACTTACTGAGTGGCCATTAGTTGACAGGTGCTTAACACTGGCATCAACTGAGACAAACTAGATGATGTGAGAGTAACAAAACAAGTCCCTGATCTCAGTGGTTTAAAACAACAAACACTGTAATAATGCTGTGTTACAAATCATCCTAAAACTGATACTTTTTTTTTTTTTTTTTTGAGAGGGAGTCTCACTCTGTCACCCAGGCTGGAGTGCAGTGGCACAATCTCAGCTCACTGCAATCTCCGCCTCACGGGTTCAAGCAATTCTCCTGCCTCAGTCTCCCAAGTAGCTGGGATTATAGGCGTATGCCACCATGCCAGGCTAATTTTTTGTATTTTTAGTAGAGATGGGTTTTCACCTTGTTAGCCAGGATGGTCTTGATCTCCTCATCTGGTCATCCACCTGCCTCAGCCTCCCAAAGTGCTGGGATTACAGACATGAGCCACTGTGCCTGACCTCTTTTTTTTTCTTCCTTTGAATTAGAGTCTTACTCTGTCTCCCAACCTGGAATGCCATGGCACCATCACAGCTCATTGCAGCCTCAACCTCATGGGCTCAATCAATCCTCCTTGCTCAGCCTTCCTAGTAGCTGGGACTACAGGCGTGTGCCACCATGCCTGGCTATTTTTTTTTTTCTTCACGTCTTCATTTTAGGTATGAGAATCAATATCATTTGGATGTTGGGTCTAAGTACACAAGTCACAATCTCAATGTAGATGAATCCATGCATACCAGCCTCAATCTCTTCTGCAGACTGTGTCTCCTCAGTAAAATCACAGCCTCACAGGTGTGCTGAGTCTTGACTCGAGAGTCACCAATCCACCCAAAATATGCAAAGTCCAAGAAAAAGATGAGAGTTACATCATCTAGGTGCTGGGTCCAGTGATACATCACAATCCTCTTTTGGCAGGGCGCAGGCTGAAGAAGAGTCACATCACCTTTGGGCTGGGACCAGGCAGGAAACTGAAATCACTCAGGTGCTGGACAAAGGCATATGTCACAATCACACCTGCAGGAAAGTTCAGGAATGAGATTAGAAATTCTACACATGTCCAAGTTTTAGGTATGAAGGTCAACCCCTCCTGTATGTTGGGTCTAAGTACGTGAGTCACAATCTCATGCTGGATAGAATTTTTGCAAGAGAGCCACAATTTTGGGCTGGGTGTGGTGGCTCATGCTATCATCCCAGCACTTTGGGAGGCCAAGGCGGGTGGATCACAAGGTCAGGAGTTCAGCCTGGCCAACTGTACTAAAATCCCATCTCTACTAAAAAATACAAAAAAATTAGCCGGGCATGGTACCTGTAGTACCAGCTACTGGAGGTTGAGGAAGGAGAATCACCTGACCCCAGGAGGTAGAGGTTGCAATGGACTGAGATGGAGCCACTGCACTCCAGCTTGGGCAACACAGTGAGACTTTGTATCCAAAAAAAAAAAGCCACAATTTGGTCTGCAGACGGTTCCTTTCAGTGCAGTCACAGCCTCACATGTCTGCTGAATCTTGGTCTGAGAATAACCAACCCACCATTTCCCAGCTTCCAGGATGACCTGGCATCTTAGCTGTGTGTCTCCCAGGACCTGACGATCACAAGGCAATGGAGGCTGTGAGAAAGTCATCGCAGACTCCCGCGGTGAAGGCCGTAGAACAACAGAGACCAATCAGCTATTTTTGTATTAACTTTTTTTTTAGAGACAGGGTTTCCCCATATTGCCCAGGCTGGTCTCAAACTCCTGGGGTCAAGCAATCCACCCACCTCAGCCTGAAAACTGAGATTTATACCAACAGGCATTCTTCTAAGAGTTTGTGGGATGGCTGCTTTGGCTCCAGTTTGGGAGGATTCGGATTTCTCTTCCATGGGATTCCACAATTTTCTGGGATCAGCAGCTCCCTGGCAAATGCTCTCATGGCACATCACGGGAGCACAAAAGCCAAGTGCACTTAAGGATCTCGCTAAGGTTAGGCCTGCTAAAATTCCATTAAGTAAATCATATGGTCAAATCCATCAATGGAGCAGGGAAATATACTCCCCAACCAGTGGCAGGGAGAAGAGTGGATATCTGCTGAATGACTGCCCATTCACGAAAGGTTAAATTTTCCTTCACCCCAGCACTATCTAGAGCGTGTTCAGCTCATCATAATCATAAAGTAGCCACTGGCAGAGTATGATGGCTTATGCCTGTCATCCCAGGACTTTGGGAGGCCGAGGCAGAAGGATCATCTGAGCCCAGGAGTTTAAGAACAGTCTGGGCAACACGGAGAAACCCTGTCTCTATAAAAATACAAACAAATTAGCCAGGTGTGGTGGTGCATGCTTGTAGTCCCAGCTATTTGGGAGGCGGAGGCAGGAGGATCACTTGAGTCCAGGAGGCAGAGGTTACAGTGAGCTGAGATCTTGCCAGTGCACGATCTGGGTGACAGACTCTGTTTTATGACAGAGTGAGACCCTATTAAAGAAAGAAAGAGAGACAGAGAGAGAGAGAGAGAGAGAAAGGAAGGAAGGAAGGAAAGAAGGAAGGAAAAGAAAGAAAGAGAGAATCCACCAACTTGAACATGGCCAATTTCTGTGCCACAGGAAGTCTACCATGGCTAATCATATGCTGTGACCCCAAAGTGACTTTTAATACAAGTCACTGGATGGAGCTAGTCATGTGGCCTACTCAACCACATGGGGACCAGGAAGTGAGATCCTGCCCCAAGGTCAGAAGACAGAGAGCTGGACATGTTTCATTAATAACACAAATGATCTCCATGACCCCTTAGAAGCTGTTTTTCATTTTATTTTCACAACTCTATGTAAAACAGGCACTATTATTCGTATCCCTGTTTTCAGGAGACATTGGAGGCTCAGAGGGCTATCTCACTGGAGGTCACACAGCTAAAAAGTGGCAGAGTTTAAGATTTATTTATTTATTTATTTATTTTTACCATACCAAGAGCTGCTTTTAATTTTTTTTTAAGAGGAAATACTATAATTTAAAAAGTTGTAAAATATTTAACAGAATTTCCAGCAATGATTATTTCCAAAATGTAAAGATTTAAAACATAATCTATGCAAAACTAAAAATCAGAAGGATTCATTCTTGCTTTTTCCTTTTTTAAGAAATTCAGACAATTTGTCCCAGGAAGTTCGGCATGTGATAGCAGCTGCAGCCTCAGTCCCCGTCGGAATCGCTGTCCCTCCACATGGGGACAGAGCGGCGCACTGAGGACAGCAACACGTCTTCAATCTGCTTCTTGGGTTTTCCTCCAAGTCTGTCTTAATTGCTCCAGATTCAGACAGTTTCCACTCCAACTCGTCTCTTGTCAGGTTCATGCCACCAAACACCAGAGGACCGATAAACTCAGCCTTGATATCACCTTCCAGGTAAGCAAATATCGTGGGCAGATTCTTATCAGGATAATTGGGTATGCAGGTTGTTGAAATGGCTTTGATAAACTTGACATCAAGAAACTTGCTGGCAAGTCCACTGAGGTGCTGATTTATCAGGGCACAGAGAGGAATTCCTTGTTTGTAAAGGTGCAAGATGACCCACAAGCCCTCACCGGCTTTGGTTACTTCTTGAACATAATCTTTCCCTGAAATCTCCAAAGCTTAATTTATTCTTCAGTTTAGTTGCTTTCCACTCAGCCAGTCTCTGCCATCTGTACATTTCAATAGCACGTTCATCCTCCTCATTAAACTCATCTTCATGATCCTTCAGCTCTTCCAAAGTCGTATCTTCACATGTTGTCACCACTGACTGCCGGACGATGTGCTGCTCCTCTTCCAATTCTTTCAGACTTTCCTTGGGAGGCAAGATGCCCTTTTTGCATCAGAGGTCATTCCACTCAGTGTCTGCATTGAGGTCCTGCACCTTGTTTCCAATCGCTCAAGCCGGTTGCGCCACCGAGTTTAAGATTTTCATCATTAGGTCACGTTGCTGGTGAGCGAGAGACCATATCACATACTGAGAGAACAAATCAGTTACTTTTGCTACATAAAAAACCATGACAAAATTTAGTGGTTTAGGACAATCAGCTGTTTAGGTCATGTTTCTCTGGGTTGCAATTTGGTCTGGGATCAGCTGGGCAATTCCTTCAGTCTCAGCTGCCTATTTCGGGGATCAGGGATGACTGTGCCATGTGTCTCTTTAGCTCAGGTCCGTCTGCCCTTCCTTCCTTCCTTCCTTCCTTCCGTCCCTCCCTTCCTCCTTCCCTCCCTCTCTTCCTTCTGTCCCCCTCCCTTCCATCCTCTTTCTTTTCTTTTTTTTAGAATAAAGACAGGGTTTCTCCATGTTGGTCAGGCTGGTCTCAAACTCCCAACCTCAGGTGATCCACCGACCTTGGCCTCCCAAAGTGCTGGGATTACAGGTATGAGCCACCAGGCCTGGCTTTTATTTTTATTTTTATTTTTATTTTCCAAGGACATTGTCTTTTTTTTCTTTCTTTTTTTTTTTTTTTTTTTTTGAGACGGAGTTTTGCTCTTGTTACCCAGGCTGGAGTGCAATGGCGCGATCTCGGCTCACCGCAACCTCCGCCTCCTGGGTTCAGGCAATTCTCCTGCCTCAGCCTCCTGAGTAGCTGGGATTACAGGCACGTGCCACCATGCCCAGCTAATTTTTTGTATCTTTAGTAGAGACGGGGTTTCACCATGTTGACCAGGATGGTCTCGATCTCTTGACCTCGTGATCCACCCGCCTCGGCCTCCCAAAGTGCTGGGATTACAGGCATGAGCCACCGCGCCCGGCATTTTTCTTTTTTTTTAAGACGGGGTTTCATCATGTTGGTCAGGCTGGTCTTGAACTCCCGACCTCAGGTGATCCGCCCACCTTGGCCTCCAAAGTGCTTGGATTACAGGAGTGAGCCACCACGCCCGGCCGGGACATTGTCTTGCTCTGTCTTCCAGGCTGCCGTGTGAGTACAGTGGAGCCATCAGAGCTCACGTTAGCCTCGACTTCCTGAACTCAATCCTCTTGCCTCAGCCTCCCCCACGTAGCTGGGACCACAGATGCACACCACCAATCTGACTAATTTTGTTGTTGTTGTTGTTGTTTTTTAACCAGAACATTTGTTGCCTGACTAATCAGTGAAATTCTTAAGATGAACTGGATGCTGCAACAGCTCCCCTCTTGGGTTTAGGTTTTGTTCCTTCATGGAATCCATGCCTGAAACTGCGGTATACAATTTTTAGGTGCCTCATTTGACGAGTCCCGGTAGTATTTCGTCTTTCAGCCTTGGCACTCCAGTTATACTTTCTCCTGCGCTTGGCGGGGTAGCCACATTTGCCGCAGGTCGACTTCTGAAGGTGGTAGGCCTTAGAGCCACAGCGGCGGCACAACATGTGCGTCTTATTGTGATGCTTCCCAAACAATGACGTTCCCTTCGTCATCCTTCTTCTGCGACTGGGACCAGAAAAGCTGTTGTTGATTTTTTATAGAGACGGGGTCTTGCCATGTTGCCCAGGCTGGTCTCCATCTCCTGGGCTCATGTAATCCTTCTACCTTTGCCTCCCTAAGTGCTGGGATTATGGGTATAAGCCACTGTGCTGGGCCAGCCTGGGGTTTGGATGTGGCAGTGGTGGGAGGGGCCCCAAGGGCAGCAAGAGAGGAAGTCCAGTGTGCAAGGCACTTTTCAAGCCGCTGCTTGCATCACGTTTGCTGTTGTTCTAGTGGTCAAAGCAAATCACATAGTCAAGTCTAGAGTTAGAAGGAGAACAATTCAAGTGCATGGCTACAGAAAGGCTGGACCTGCTGGGGACATTAATGGGTCCAGCTGGCTCCAGAGCTAAGGTGCTTTACCATCACAAGCTCCCAGTGTTTAAACAGGAAGTCTGCCGGCGCTCCTTCCAGGGTGACAAAACTCAGACACTGATAAAGTCTCTTGATTACAGCCCAGTCTTTCCTGGCAGATTCCCCACCAACCCTCCAATCCCCAGACCCAGAGTCTAGGTTTCCAGCCCAGTCAAAATCGCAAGGACCTGTTTTTTCCCTCAAACTCAAGAAGAACAGACACACAATAGGATTTCTATTTATTTTTATTCATTCCTCCAAAGGGCACCACAGGCCAACCATATCTCTGATGTGTCCTTCATGGTTCCCCACTGCAGTGGACACAAACCCCTCCACCATTATCCAGGAATGTATGGAATTCTGCTGTGGCGATGAGGCTGTCTCGCCCACTCACCCAAGTTTTCCGTGCCCATTCTGCTTCTGAGGGCAATTCCAAAATTCATCATCAATTTCCTTGAATTCCTGCCTTTGAGAGTCTTCCAGCCCTGTGGTGCCATACAGACACACTTTGATGGCAGCCAGTGATCTGTCTACACGAGAGTCTTAGTCTTTTTTGCTTGGATGCTCCCAGAGACAGATGCCTATCGACAACCTTATGTCTTCACAAAGACTAAAATTCAATCCCATTGAAAGTCATGATTTAAAAGGTGAACACCCTCACAAAGAGCCTTAACACTCAAGGGTGTCAATATATACAACTATATAAACACATCCAATATACAACTAACTGTATCAACACAACCAGCACTCCTCTATGGGCACAGACACACACACACACACACACACACACACACACACACACACACACACACACAAAATTGTCTTGCTTTCTCAGATATGATCTCTGGCATGACTCCTGCTGGCATGAGGGCAGAAGAAATTTAGAGCAGCAAAGCATATAGCAGTGATGTCAGACAGGACCAAATCAGAGACGGTGTCCAAGTCGCAGAAAAAGAAGGGGCACATTCTGAGCAAAGGCATGGGATGAGACAAAAGGCGCCCAGACTAGAGCCATCTTGGTGATGCCCAGGGCTGGGTGGCACTCAAGTTTGAGCTCCCAGTGTGTCAGGCTTCTCAAGAAAGGGTGCACTATGTTATGAGTGTGTGCACGTGTTATCTGCATGTATGTAAATACATACGCTTGATTCCCACCATAACCACATGAGGTAGAGGCCATTTGTGGAGTCACATGCTCAAGTCAGTTGAAGGACTACCTGCCCCAAGAGCTAGGCTGACGGAATTTCCAGCTGATGGAAGTTGTATCTGCACTGTCCAACACTGTAGTCACTGATCACACATGGCTACTGAGTATTTGAAATGTTGTTCTATTGCCAATGTGACATAGAATCTTAAGTTTTATTTACTTTTAATTGAACAGTTGAGGCCAGGTATGGTAGACCATGCCTGTAATCCCAACACTTTGGAAGGCTGAGGTGGCCGGATGACTTGAGGCCAGGGGTTCAAAACCAGCTTGGTGGCAGCGTGATGGCTCATACATGTAACCCTAGTACTTTGGGAGGCCGAGGTGGGTGGATCGCCTGAGGTCAGGAGTTTGAGACCAGCCTGGCCAACGTGGTGAAACCCCGTCTCTACTGAAAATAAACAAAAATTAGCTGGTCGTGGTGGCACACACCTGCAGTCCCAGCAACTCAGGAGGTTGATGCAAGAGAATGACTTGAACCTGGGAGGTGGAGATTGCAGGGAGCCAAGGTCACACCACTGCACTCCAGACTGGGTGACAAAGTGAGACTCTGCCTGAAAAAAAACAAAAACTGAACCATCTTGGTCAACTTAATGAGACCCCCATCTCTACTTTAAAAAAATTGACACCCACTTCAGTTTTTGGAAAACTATTATATAATTGGAACTGGGATATGTAAATCTACTTCTCCAAATACGAATTTTATGAGTTCGAAACACAGGTCAAGCATTTCAGATGAAAATGTATCATGGTAATTGCGATGTGGTGTAAGTCTAAAATATACACCAGGTTTTGAAGACAGCATAAAACAATGCAAAATAACTCATTTAAAAAATATCGATGACATGCTAAAATGCTATTTTGGATATACTGGGTTAAGTAAAACATATTAAAATAAATTTAACCTGTTTCCTTTTAATTGTCTTATGTGGCTATTAGAAAACTTGCCTGTAATTTCAGCACTTTGGGAGGCTGAGGTGGGTGGATAACTTGAGGCCAGGAGTTTGGGACCAGCTTGGCTAACATGGTGAAACTCCATCTGTACTAAAATACAAAAATTAGCCAGGTGTGATGGCGCATGCCTGTAGTCCCAGCTGCTCCGGAAGCTTAGGCAGGATCGCTTGAACCCAGGAGATCGCAGTGAGCTGAGATCATGGCACCCCACTCCAGCCTGGGTGACAGAGCAAGACTGTCACACACACAAAAAACTTAAAATGACATATGTGGCTTGAATTCTGTTTCTGCTGGACAGTGCTGCCCTGCAGCCCTCCCATTCCATCACATGGGTGATATGCCTGATTGCCAGGGCTTAGACCCTAACATGAGGGCTATAAAGGAGTGTACTAGATATTATAGATATGGATGAATATTCTTCCCCTAAAGCTGAAAGAGCTTTCATGAAAATGCCTGGAGCCATTCAGTACAGAACAAAGCGCTCTTCCCCACGGTGGATATCTCAACTTTGACGGGACAAACAGTGTCAGTGGTGGGAGTCCAAGCTGGAGACGGTGGTACCATCCCTCAAGTTTCTGCCCTCGGATCAGTTACCCGTCTTCAGCTTTTAAGGGAGACAGGATCTCAAAACTATTTAAGGTTCTTCTCTAGCTCTTCCTTTTAACAGATGGGAAAGTAAGGCACTGTCCAAGTCACACACAGTGACGGCGGCAAAGCCATGCTTGTTTCCCAGGTCCCCTGACCTTGGACAAGGGCGTTCTCTCCCATTAAATGCTTGTTTCTCCCCATCTCGCTCCATTTTCCTATCTTGTGGCAAGAGATCAACAATCTAAATTCCAATCCTACTTCTGCCACTGATCAATGATACAAACATTTAGGCTGGGTGTGTGGTGGCTCATACCCGTACTCCCATCAAGGTGCGAGGATCGCTCGAGGCCAGGAGTTCAACACTAGTGTGGGCTACAAACCAAAACCTGTCTCTACAAAACATTTGGTGGTGTGCACCTATAGTCCCAGCTACTCGGTAGGCAGAGGTGTGAGAATCACTTGAGCCTGGGAGTTGGAGGTAGCAGTGAATCTCGGCCATGCCACTGTATTCCAGCCTGGACAACAGAGCAAGACCCTGTCTCTAACATCATCATCATAATAAATAGTTACCAAGCACCTATTGTGTCAGGCAGCTATTGTTCTAGATGCTGGGGGAACAAAGAACAGGACAGGCAATGGGTCAAACCCCGATAAACAGGTAAATAAATAAGATCTTTTTCACAGTAATAATTGCTACAAGGAAATTCAACTGGCCGGAATGAATAATGAGGGATGTGAGCTACTTCAGACAGGGTGTCCAGGGAGGGGAAGTTCTCTTTGAGGGGATATTTGAGCTGAGATCTGACTGAGCCAGTCACAGGAAGGTAGGTTTCAGAGTAGAACAGGAAGCTGTGAGCGGAGCCTTGTAGGAAAGAGAACAGCAGGGACAAGGGTTTCCAGGCAGGACTCGAGGTGGCCACTCAGGCAGCACAAGGAAAATCAGGTGGGCACGATGGCACATGCCAGGAATCCCAGCACTCTGGGAGGCCGAGGCAGGTGGATCACCTGAGGTCAAGAGTTCAAGACCAGCCTGGCCAACATGGTAAAACCCCATCTCTACTAAAAATACAAAAATTACCCAGGTGTGGTGGGCCATGCCTGTCTTCTCAGCTACTTCGGAGGCTGAGCTTGAAGTGAGCGGAGATCATGTCCCTGCATTTCAGCCTGGGCAACAGAGCAAAACTCCATCTCAAAAAAAAAAAAAAAGAAAGCTTATCAGGCTGGATGGGAGTGGGAAGGGGCAGGGAATGAGAACAGGCAAGGGCCAGACCTGCAGGGCCTCACTGTGTGCTGTTGGGCCTCAAGCCTGCCCTCTGGACTTCGTTTGGATTTTCAGATCCTCCTTTTCTGTTTCTGACGCTGAAGAATTCTGTAACCTGCAGCTTTCCCCCTACATGTAGCTAGCAGCCTAGAACATTCCAGGCACTGTGGTTTCTGCCTTTGCTTCACTCACTCCTGGCATATTCCCATGGTCTCGAATGCCTGCCCACCCATTTGGTGGGCCCCTGGCTCAATGCAGCACCCTCTACGTACACCAGAAAGCAGAGCCTCTTGGAGATACCCGAGGGAGCCACACAGAAGGGTTTGGACCAGTGCAGCAGCACAGCGGCTCTTCCAAAAAGGAAGGTGCACAGAACACTAAGGCCAGAAAGGGTTATGGTTAAATGACAGGAGAAACTGAGGCCAAAAACAAATAGAAATCCCTAAAGAAAAGAGACAGAGGAACAGACTCCCCAGAGATCATCTGAATTGCTCAGCACCTAGAAAGTGAAGGCAGTTATATCCCTTCCCAGTCACACTCACAAAGGCAGTTGCCGGGATCCCAACACAAGGTTTGCAGGAGCTATCTCTGAGGTATGCTTTCCTGCCCTTCCACACCCAGAAGGCCTCATTCCTGGTCCCCAGCTACTCTCAGAGCCCACCATGCCCAGACTGCTTAGCCACCTCACCTCATTTTTGTGGGACCACCGTCTCCACAAACAGACTTTTGGAGGGCAGTTAGTAGAAACCCATCTACTCCCCGGGAGTGATCAAAAGGTCTCCAGCTTTCTCTCACAAGCCCTCCTCCAGATGCAGCCCTCGCCCAACTCAAGAATTAGGAACCAAGTTTCCCAGCCATCTTGGAACCCAGGAGGCTGAGACCCCAGAGGCCTCCTCAACCCCATAAAGATTCAAAGCCCACTATTCCTTGGGGACCTGTGTGCAAGCTTTTTCTCCAAGAGAAATGTAGACCCTGTTTCCCTGAGGCTCTGAAGCCCACGAGTTTCAGCTCCCTGGGGCGCTCAGGTCTCCCACCCCTATACTGGAGTTCAGGTCCCAGTCATGGACACCTCCCCATCAGTTAGGAAACAGGACTTCTACCCTCCTCCACTGGAGGATTAAACATCCAGTAACTCCAGTTTCTACTCCCTAGGAGACAAAGGCATAGTCCCTTCCAGAGTCCCGGCCACCAACTCCCTTCAGGACTGAAGGGTCTGGATGTCATGCACCATGGTTCCCAAAGAAATCAGAATTCCTGTCCCCCAGGCTCTCTGAATCCAGGTGATGAGAAGTCACATATCCCAGCTAGAAGTCAGAGTCCACATCCCCTTCAAGCATCCAGAATTAAGCCCAGACATCCCCTGCCAGAATCTGGATTCCCAAGCCCCCTCCCCTTGAGGTGAAACTTGGGAGAGCCCGGCCCCCATCCCACCCCTCACTGTGCAGACTCAGGGGGTGCCAGCACCGCCTCGGCATCAGCCCGCATCTCATCGAGCGCCTGCAGCAGGACGCCATGAGCCGCGCGGTAGCCCAGGCCACCTGTCGCTGCTGCACCACCAGCAGGCCACAGAAAGGAGAGCGCGCCCAGTGCTGCGCCCCCAGCAGTGCCCTCACCTGCCCACGCGCCCAGCCTTGCTTCCACCTCAGCGCGCGTCACCGGGCCTGGGAAATGAGCACGCGCTGCCAGCTCCCCAGGAGCCAGGCCCAGAGCTCGCTCACGTCGAGCCAGCGCCGCGGGTTCCAGCCCCAGGCCCCGTCGCCATTCGGCCAGCTGACCCCGCAGAAGCGCTACGTCGCATGCCCAGCCCAGTCCTGGGAGTGGTGCTGCCGCCGCCGCCAGGCTGGCCAGCAGAGCTGGCCTCCACGCCCCGGCCCGCAGTGCCGCAGCCTTGGTTCGGGCAGCGCTGGGAGACGCTGGTGGCAGCGCCAGCAGCAGCGCCCCTGCCTGGGCTGGGGGGAGCGCTCGCCGCAGCCATTCGCACAGCTCTGGGAGTCCGCCAGGTCGCAGGGGGAACACTGGTGGCGGTGCCTCCTCCAGCACCTCCCACGTCTCGTCCTCCGGGCTTAACACGGCGGCCCGCTCTGAGTCCCCACCGCCCGATTTCTTCATGCCAACAACCTGCTGCAAACCCTCGCTGCGAGCTTTCCCAGAACCTTCCCCACTGCCTGCTTTCTGCGATCCAGCGCTATATTTCTCCCTTCCCTTACTGAGTGCATTCTCCAATCCCCCTCCGCCTGCGTTCTTTAAGCTCTGGCTGCTGGGTTTCTCCGTCTTGCCTTCTCCCACACACTCCGGATGGTCACCCTCACCGTCTGTGCGCACGCAGACGAGAGGCGCATCTGGTAGCACCAAGGCCTGGACCTGGGCCCAGTCCTTCTCAGTGGGGGCCCTAGGAGTGACGAGGATGAGGGCGTCGTAGTGCGAAGGGTGGGAGGTGGCAGTGGGGGTGGTGGCAGTGCCCGCGGGGTCCAGAGGCACAGTCCAGAGCACCACATTCGGGCGCTCTGGGGCCGGGAAGGGAGTGGGTCCCGTGGGCACCGAAGCAGGCGCAGCACCTGGGTCGCCAGGATCCAATCCAAGCAGTGTGTCCAGCACAAGGCCCACGTCAGCCTTGCCGGCCACGGCCAAGTCTAGCCGTGCACTGCCCAGGCGCTCCAGGCCTGAGCGTACCCACGACAGCGCAGCCTCCAGGCCGCCGGTCTCAAAGGCCTCGCGCACAGCCTCCAGCTCTGCTGCACCAAGCACCTCGAAACCATCCTGGGCCGGTGGCAGGAGCCTGTGGAGACAAGAAGGGACAGGGTCAAGGGTAGAAGAGGGGCTGGGTGACAAGGACTGGGCTATGATGACAATGGCAGAGCTTTCCGAATAATCCCAGAGTGGAGCAGCGGTAGGAAAGGAAGGGGCCTGACTGCACAGCAAATAGAAACCAGATGGGGAGGGGCCATGATGATACGGGAGGGGCTTAAAGCAATAATGGAGTCTTGATGATTGGATGGGTGGGCTTAAGGTCAGAGTCCCCACCCTAGCCTAAAATGGGGATTGGGCTAAGACTTCCATGGAATAGAGTATTTGGGGGCGGGGCTTTCCCAAGGGTCAGCTGTGCTGGGCGGGACAAAGCTCAAAGAGGGCGGGGCCTAGAACAGAGAATCAATGTGTCTGTCTAAGCACTATTTGAGACCCAGTCCCCAAAGGCACTCTTTTCAGAGGTTGGGCCTAAGGAGGGTCAATAAAGGGAGAAATCTCATCCACTAGTTCTTACTAAGGGGGAGTGGCTAAGGTAGTCACCCAGGCAGGTGAGGCTAAGGAAAAAAGATGAGAGTGTACTCGAACAAGGAATTGCCTCTCTCTGAATCTCATTTTAAAGTCTGAAAATGAGGAGGCTGGCAGGTGGGAGAGCCAATTCAGGAGGTTGCCAGCAAGTGGGCACAGAAACGAGAGGGAGCTGGAGAAAGGAGGTGGATGAGGACGCCCCCAAATAATAATGCTCAAAGGCCAGGCGCCGTGGCTCACGCCTGTAATCCCAGCACTTTGGGAGGCCAAGGCGGGCGGATTGTGAGGTCAGGAGTTTGAGACCAGGCTGGACAACATAGTGAAACCCCGTCTCTACTAAAAATATCCCCCCAAAAGGAGAAAAAGAATAGCTGGGCGTGGGGACGGGCGCCTGTAATCCCAGCTACAAGAGAGGCTGAGGCAGAAGAATCGCTGGAACCCAGGAGGCAGAGGTTGCAATGAGCCGAGATCGCACCTTTGCACTCCAGCCCGGGGAAACAGTGTAAGACGCCATCTCAAATAAATAAATAAATAAAATAATATATTAACACCCATTGCGGGGGTATGGCTTTAGGGCAACCGAGGTCGCTTGAAAACCAAGCTAAGGGTGGGGACGGCTCAAGGATTAGTTTTCAGATAAAATCTTCCAGGGGGCTGGGCACGGTGTCTCAGGCCTGTAATTCCAGCACTTTGGGAGATCAAGGCGGGCAGATCACCTTGGTTGGGCCAGGGCCTGGAAAAATGAGCCTCAGGGCCCCAACAGATAAAGTGTTAAGCCCTTCCCTTCTAATGCTAAGGCTTTGGGAAGCCTGGGTGGGAGCATGGCTTGAGGCCAGGAGTTCAAGACCAGCCTGGGGAAGCAGTGAGATCCTATTTTGCAGCCTGTAGTACTGGCTACTCTGGAGGCTGAGGCAGAAGGATCATTTGAGCCCAGGAGGTGGAGGGCCTCAGTGAGCTAGGATTGTGCCACTGCACTCCAGCCTGTCTCAAAAAAAGGCTGAGTATGGTGGCTCGAGACTGTAATCCTAGCACTTTGGGAGGCTGAGGTGGGAGTATCGCTTAAGGCCAGGAGTTCACATTCAACCTAGTCAACATAGCGAGATTGTCTCTGAGGGGAAAAAAGAAAAAAAAAAGAATAATAGAGTTAAGCTTTGCCTCAAACTCACTGGGGGAGGGATCTCACGGACCTCAAAAAGGACCTAGGTGCATAGGGTCTCAACTAAGGGTCCCAGCCAGAAAGCCAGCACTCACCTCCTCAGCGCTTCTGCCTGGCTCTGCAGTGCCACCCGGAGGCGCTCTAGCTCCTCACAGCCGTCGCAGCTGCCGCGGTTCGCCGGTAACACAAACAGATCCGCGGCTCCTAACCCAGCGCTGTTCAGCAGAGCTGCAGTCTGATCACGGGCCTGGGTGGCATTCTGTGAATCCTCGGGACGGAGGTTCCGCACGGCCAGTAGAGGCGTCCCTCGGGCCAGGGCGGCCCGGGCTGCCTCTCCCAGGGCTGGGGCCAAGGGTTCGCCGTTCCCCTCGGGTCCGGGCAGCACCAGTACCAGCACGTTGGCTTCCGCCGCCCAGGGCCCCGGCGCTGCGGGTGGGCAGCTCAGCTCGCCCAGAAAAAGGCCTGGGCCCGCAGCTCTCAGGCTGGGGACCCCGGAGTCCGGCCGTCCGTCGGGGGCCTCGAGTGTCTCCACATCCTTGTCGCACAGCGCTGCGATCAGCGCAGACTTTCCCAAGCCCGGAGGCCCAAGGAATAAGGCGGTCACGTCACCCTGCGGCGGAGGCATGGCTGGAAAGCAACGGGCGGAGAAAACCCGGGTCAGGGAACACCTGGCCTTTTTCTTTCCTAGACGCCCCACCCGGAACCCAGGCCTCAATCCTTCACTCTGTCTCCTTCGATTCTTGAGCGTCACTCTCCGGGACCTAAAAAATCCAGAGCCCAGACGCTATTCCTCCGGGATCCCAGGCGTCCTGTCTGTCCACCCTCTTTCTAGATGGAAACGTTTCCCTTTCTGCTTCAAAAACTCAAAAATCAGGCGTGGTGGCTCATGCCTGTAATCCCAAGGCTTTGGGAGGCCGAGGCGGGAGGATCACTTGACGCCAGGAGTTCGAGACCAGCCTGGGTAACATGTGGGACTCGCTGGTAGAGTCCCTGTGCCTATAAAAAATAAAATTTAGCCGGGAGTGGTGCCGCGCGCCTGTAGCCCCAGCTACTCGGAAGGCTCAGGACTTGGGAGGCTGCAGTGGGCCATGATCACACCACCGCACTCCAGCCCGGGCGGCAGAGCAAGGCCCTCTCTCAAAAATAAATAAATAAAAATAAAACCTCAGAAATCTGGCTTCCGGTCCCTCCTCCCTCGGACGCACTGTTATTTTTATCCTCCCCCCTCCGCCTTCCAAATCACCAACCGAGCGGAGCCGACCCACGGGAGAGCGCAGTCGGTGGCGGTGGGTCAGTCGCTGAGAACTCGACCCCGGGCCGCGGCAGACGGAGGCCGAAGAGGCCAGAACGCCGTGATTTAGAGATGCCGGCACGCGTCCCGGTGGCTTTAACCTGACGTCACTCCCTCAACCAAGGGGGTGTGTCTTCGAAGAGAGACTGCAGAGAACTAGACCTTCGCAGCGCCTGCGCAGAACGGCCAAAGTGAGCAAGCCCCTCTTCCGCGGCCTCAGGACCTAGAACAATGAGGGAGTCAACGCGCCTGCGCGCCACGAGCGCCTACTCATTCAGGCGCAAAAAGCTTAGGTATCTACCGCACAGGGGGCTGTAACGTCATCATAGCGCGCCCTAGTGCAGAGAAGGACCCCTCTGGTTATTTTCAGCACCGGGCTGGTGCAACTGTGCTACTGCCGGATGGCAAATCCGGGCTCTCGACTCCGAGAGACTTATGTGGCGAAAGGGCGCGGAAACCACGGGGAACCCTGAGACTGAGTGGGCCCTATCCCACTTCTCTCTGGGTGGCGGCGCTGTGGCGAGAGACTGACAGGCGCAGTGAAAGGCAGCCCTCTGCTGTACGGAGGAAAACAGGCCTGGGAGCAGGAACCTGTAGGCAGCGCTTGCGGGTAGCGGGATAGTGGCTGCAAGCGCGCGTGGGAGGCGGGGGCTCTGGGCGGAACAAAAATCACAGGATGTCAGAGGATGTTTCCCGGGAAGAACTGGGATAAAGGGTGGGTATCACTACCTGCCCCAAGACACCTGAGACTGGGATGACGCTGCTGTCAAAGATAAAGGCTCCCATGCTGACTTCAGTGAGTTTGATGCAGCAGGTCATAGGTCACACCAGTGAGAAGACTAGGGGAGTCCCAAACCCGGGAAGTCCAGTCTTTTGGGAGATTTGAAGCTTCTCTTAACAAGAACTCCACCAATTAGAGTTCAAGGAGAGAGTATGTCGTGGGAGGCAAAGACAGGCAAGGAGAGCCTCTGGTGATGTCAAAGGTCATAGACTTAGGGTGCCCTCTGCTGGTAACAAATGAACAGCTTCACTCATGCACGCTCCTCTCTTGACTAGAAGGGTCCCAACACCATGGAGGACCCGAACCCTGAAAAGAACGTGGAGCAGCAGGATTCACCCAAGGACAGAAGTCCCCAGAGCCCAGGAGGCGGCATCTGTGAGTACACATGGCTGGTTGGCTAGAGGAGGGTGGGGTGCAGGAGCTGACGCTAAGATCTCTGTGGCACTTCAGTGTCCAAGGCACCACAGAGTTTCACCTGTCGAGAAGGTGCTGTAATGGCCCCTAAGCTGCTCTAGAAGGAAGTGCCTCTCCTTACACCTGCTTTTGTGGCCAGAGTACTCACCCTCCTCTGGCCGCATAAGCAAGATTGCGATGCTTATGCATTCAGAGGAATAAGGTGGCTTCCAGGACAGGGGGGTTGGAGATGTAGCTAAGAATAGTTTTACTGGGAAAGAAGCCCCAAGATCCTAGTTCTGACTCTGCCCTAGACTTTCAGTGTAACTTGGGCCTTGGCTGCCCTGTCTGTCAAAAGAGGCTGGCACTACCCACTTCACAGGGCGGTTATGGGATTAACTGCAGCAAAGGGGACAGCTGGTTGTCAATGATGGTAGCCAGTTTGAGATGTAATAGCAATATCTCCTGCTCATTGATTTATTATGTGCCACGAGTATTTATTCTTATGAATGATTTTAACATTCATTATCACATTCAGTCCTTCTAATAATAGGCCCTTTAAACTGGGAACCGAGGCAGAGAAAGGTATTTCCAACAAGAGCTGTAGTCTCATTGCCCTTGAGCCAGAGACTACCAGGAACACACTGCAGTTGAACACGCTGGGTTTATCGCTCAGTGCAATGAAGAACACACACCATGGGAGAACTGTGGGGTGACTCACTAAGTGTTAAAAACGACATAGGATTTGGGCTTGTGGGTGGTGGTTTTGGAAAAGATTCCAGCAAAAGTGTTGTTTGGCTCTGGATTGGATGCCACCAGGAAGCAGGGGCAATTCTATGATTGGCTATTTTAATAAATCTTATGCAGGAGGAGGAAGGAAGAAGGTGAGGCTCAAATTCTGACTGATAACGCAGCAGCAGACATTCACATTAGCCAGGATAGGAGGAAGTTTGGTCATTTGTCTGCTTGGACTGCATTCATATGTTGTCTGTGTTCAGACATTGTGATGATGTAGTCTTGTCTTGATTCATTCTTGTCACAGCGTGGCCTTGGCTGTCCTTGATGTTCTGTGAAATTATTTATGTTCAATAGAACACCAAGGTCTAGCTGTGAGTACCAGGGCCGATCCTGGACGTCGAGCTGCATTTGTCTGTATCATTAGTCACCATTGCAAACAACTATGTAGCAATTCAGTTATTCCCTCCAGTGGTCCTATGGAGTAGATACTGTTATTAGTGCATTTTCCAGATAAGGAAACTGGTTTAATTGTGTCTAGGAAGTGGTTGAGCAGTCTGGCTCCAAACGTTGGGCGGTAATCACCAGACCCCTCTATTGGGCTGGCTGACTCTGGGCTCCACCATTTCCTTTCCTAGCCTTATGACTATGGGCAACTTGCCTAACCTCTTTTTTGGTGGGGGCAGAGATGGAGTCTCACTCTGTCGCTCAAGCTGGAGTGCAGTGGCATGATGTCGGCTGACTGCAACATCTGCCTCCCAAGTTCAAGCAATTCTCCTGCCTCAGCCTCCTGAGTAGCTGGGACTACAGGTGAACACCGCCATGCCCACTTAATTTTTTGTATTTTAGTAGAGACAGGGTTTTACCGTGTTGCCGAGGCTGGTCTTGAACTCCTGAGCTCAGGTAATTCACCCACCTCAGCCTCCTAATCTCTTTGAATCTTATTTTGTTCGTCCATAAAATGGGTCCAAGAACAGTTCTCCTGTGTGGCTGTCCAGCATTAGCACAGAACCTAGCACATAGCATACCCAGTGTTAATTGCTGGTGTGATTCTGGGGCTCAGGAGAGGTTCTGGAGACTCCCCCTGGCCTCCCCTGACCTCTTCCCATATCCCTCAGGCCACCTGGGAGCCCCAAAGTGCACCCGCTGCCTCATCACCTTCGCAGATTCCAAGTTCCAGGAGCGTCACATGAAGCGGGAACACCCAGCGGATTTCGTGGCCCAGAAGCTGCAGGGGGTCCTCTTCATCTGTTTCACCTGTGCCCGCTCCTTCCCCTCTTCCAAAGCCCTGATCACCCACCAGCGCAGCCACGGTCCAGCCGCCAAGCCCACCCCACCGGTTGCAACCACTACTGCCCAACCCACCTTCCCTTGTCCTGACTGTGGCAAGACCTTTGGGCAGGCTGCTTCTCTGAGGCGGCACCGCCAGATGCATGAGGCCCGAGCCCCTCCTGGCACCTTTGCCTGCACAGAGTGTGGTCAGGACTTTGCTCAGGAAGCAGGGCTGCATCAACACTACATTCGGCATGCCCGGGGGGAGCTCTGAGTGCAGCTTAAGCCTCTCCATGGTGACAGGTGGCGTTGTGGCCCATGAGACCCACCCATCATATGGGGTGCAGGAACTCTGGGGGCCCTGAGGGATTTGCTTCCCTACCCTGGGAGGGCAGATGGCCCTTAATAAAGAGGACCCAGAAGATTCTCATTTAGAGCTTCAGTCTTTGGAGGACACAGGGTCTTCAGGAGACGGTGAAATCAGACAATAATGAGATCTTTTGTTTAGAAAAAAATGGGAAGAGAGTACGGGAGAGAAATGATTTGTGTCTCCCTAATTCCCAGTTAAACACATAGCTGTGGATTGTGCCATCAACCCTTCATTCTTCCCAGATGGATACCATGGGCTGTGGGAGCAAACTGCCCTGGACCTTTGCCTGAATGAGGGCAGGGAAGGTAAGGTGTTGCTGGCCTGTAGTGCCACTGGATGAGTTCCAGATGTGGGGCAACTTGGGCCTTTGGGGAGGGGGCAGCAAAGTTGAGAGCTGGACCCCAATTGAATGGGGGTGGAAATTCGAGTCCTTGAGTCAATTCCCACCCCCTGCCAGCCCTTCTCGTTTAGAGGGGCTACGGCACTGGATGGCAGTAGTCCCCTGATAATTTATGCCTTGTTTAAATAATTTTGGATATCATTCTAGTCATGAAATATTTTTTCATATGTGTAGGTGAAATGGTATGAATAAGCTAACGGGAATAGTATCTAAAAACAAAACATCCATATTAAAATATCTAAACCGGGAGTTCTGGCTTTTGAGTGGGAATTTCCAGAGAACATAAGGGTGTGGGCAGGTGGGAGAACTCAGGGCAGAGTTGGCCTTGCCTTGTGGGGAAACTGATTTGGAATCAAACAGAGATGCCTTCTGTTTCAGGTTTTATTTGGCCAACACTGGGAGATTTCTCATTAAGATCCTATTTTCAGCTCTCTTGAAAGGCCCAACCCAGGCTGACATTGTCAGCAGGGGCAGGGCAGAAGCTACAACAGGCTGGAGCAAGCAGTAGGTGTCACCCTCAACTGGAGATGAGTCCCATCAGGCCAGTATTACCCCCTTAGTTACCTGCCCTGCACCTGCAGACCAATGGTCAATGCCCTGAATATAACACTGGTAGACTCTGTTTATGTGGAGAGATGTTTTTAAAGCTCACAGGTGAGGTGGATGTGGTAGACTGATCACTATCAGTTTTTAGCTAGGCACATGGTAGCTGAAAGACTACATTTCCCAGATTCCTTTGCAGCTAGATGTGGCCATGTGACTGAGTTCTTGCTAAATTCCTGGGTAGAATGCTCAAGCTTAAGAAAGGGGTGGCAGGGTGCGGTGGCTCATGCCTGTAATCCTAATACTTTCAGAGGCCAAGGCGGGTGGATCACCTGAGGTCAGGAGTCCGAGACCAGTCTGGCCAACATGGTGAAACCCCGTCTTTACTAAACTACAAAAATTAGCTGGTCGTGGTGGCACAGGTCTGTAATCCCAGCTACTTGAGGGGCTGAGGCAGGAGAATTGCTTGAACCTGGAAGACAGAGGTTGCAGTAACCCAGGATTGTGCCACTGAACTTCAGCCTGGCTGACACAGCAAGACTCCATTTAAAAAAGAAAAAAGAAAGGAACATACCTTTTTTCCACCTTCCTAACTGTAATACAGACACGGTATCCAGCCATCTCAGACCGTAAGGACAAGAGCAACACGTGGGATGGCAGAGCAACAAGATAGCAGGAGCCTGGGTCCCTGGTCAATTTCATAGAAAACTACCATACCAGCCCACTTTCATATTGCTATCTAAGAAATAAACTTTTATCTTATTTAAGCCACCATTATTTTGGGTCTCTGTCACATGCAACAAGACAGGGGTCTGCAAACTATTGCCCAGTCTAGCCTGCTGCCTGGTTTTGCAAATAAAATTTTACTGTAGCCAGGTGTGGTGGTGTCTGCCTGTGGTCCCAGCTACTTGGGAGGCTGAGGCAGGAGAATTGCTTGAACCCGGGAATCGGAGGTTGCAGTGAGCCAAGGTCATGCCACTGCACACCAGCCTGGGCAACGAGTGAGACTCAAGTCTCAAAAAAAATTTATTGGAACACAGTTTTTTACTCACTACTTATGTATTGTTGATGAGTGCTTTTGCCAAGAACAGCAGATATGAGTAGTTACAACAGAGATCCTTATGGCCTACAGAACTTAAAATAGTTACCATCTAGCCCTTTATAGAAGTTTGCCTACCCCTGGTCTAAGTAATAAGACATTCAATCTACTGAGTCTGGAAAAGCAGGAATTTCCATCTTGGGAAATCCCACTTTTACTAGGTAGGTAGGTAGGTAGGTAGAGGGTGTGTGTGTGTGTTTTGGGGCAGGACTACCCTGGATCTCTTTGCTAGGGTCACTTATGGGGAGACTGGTTGGAGTTAGTAGACCATCACTTTTTTTCAAAATACCAACTTCATGGAAAGCCAGATATTTCCTCTGGCTCCTGGTAAAAGCTCAGAAGTTTCACACTACCCCCACAGTGGTTCCCCTAAACCCAAACCTAAGGATCTAATCCCACATGCGCTCCCGAGATAGCAACCTGCCCAAGTACACCCGGGCTTCCTGTTCTCTCCAGACATCACAGATTCTCTAAATAGCATCACTGATGACTTCCACATCTTTATCTGCAGACTAAACCCCAGACATAAGATATAACCACTTGAATAACAAATGGAGATCTCAAAATGTGTCAGCATGACTCCTGCAGCCCAACCTGCACCACCAATGCCATCATGTCAGTAAACTGTGCACTCTTTATTTTTAAATTTTTTCCTTTGAGTCTCGCTCTGTCTCCCAGGCTGGAGTGCAGTGGCACAATCTTGGCCTAATGAAGCCTCCACCTCCCAGGATCAAGCAATTCTGCAACCCCAGCCTCCCTGAGTAGCTGGGATTACAGGTGTGCACCACTATAACCAGCTAATTATTATATTTTTAGTAGAGACAGGGTTTCACTGTGTTACTCAGGCTGATCTTGAACTCCAGGACTCCAGTGATCCACCCTGGGTCTCCCAAAGTGCTGGGATTGTACTGCACCTGGCCTTTTTTTATTTTATTTTATTTTATTTATTTATTTATTTTTTTTTTGAGACGGAGTTTCACTCGTTACCCAGGCTGGAGTGCAATGGCGCGATCTCGGCTCACCACAACCTCCGCCTCCTGGGCTCAGGCAATTCTCCTGCCTCAGCCTCCTGAGTAGCTGGGATTACAGGCACGTGCCACCATGCCCAGCTAATTTTTTGTATCTTTAGTAGAGACGGGGTTTCACCATGTTGACCAGGATGGTCTCGATCTCTCGACCTCGTGATCCACCCGCCTCAGCCTCCCAAAGTGCTGGGATTACAGGCTTGAGCCACCGCGCCTGGCTCTTTTTTTATTTTTGAGACAGGGTCTCACTGTGTCACCTAGGATAGAGTGCAGTGGCAAGATCAAGGCTCTCTGCAGTCTTGACCTCCTCAGGCTTAGATGATCCTCCCACCTCTGCCTCCCTCCCTGTAGCTGTGACTGCAGGTGTGCACCACGATACCTGGCTAATTTTTTGTAGAGATGGGGTTTCACCATGTCCAGGCTGGTCTTGAACTCCTGGGCTCAAACAATCCACCCACCTTGGTCTCCCAAAGTGCTAGGATTACAGGTGTGAGCCACTGTGCCTGGCTGACTTTCAGCCTTCCACCTGTGTAACTACTGCCTGTATTAAATCCTCTTTGGGGAATGCCTGGCCTGGTTCCAAATCCTGAAGGGGTGCTGGCTGAATGACCCAACTCCTGATTCCTAGTGTCTCTCGTGATCCTTAAGAATATTTGCCAATGGATGGAAATTCTCTATATCTGTCCTTAGAAATCCTGTCTTATGGCAGAAGATGGGATGGGGTGCTGCTCCAGGAAATAAAACCCATGATCATGCTTATCTTTGTGCTGTGGTTGAATGTATGCGTCCCCCTAATATTCATGTTGGGAACCTAAGACCCCATATGATAGTATTCAGATGTGGGGCCTTTAGGAGACAGTTAATTCATGAGGGCCCTCATGAACAAGATAAGTGCCCTTGCAAAAGGACCCGAGGGAAGTAGGTAGGCCCTCTCCCCTTCCATCTCTCCTACCATCTGAGGACACAGAGGTCATCCCTTTTTGCCTCCTTCCACTATGTAAGGCTGCAGCAAAAAGGCACCAACTTGGAAGCAGAAGCTGATCTCAAACGAACTCTAGGCCTCCAGTGATCTCGAACTCCAGGCCAAATTAGATCAGACACCAAATCTGCTGGTTCCCTGACCTGGGACTTCCCAGTCTCCAGAACCATGAGAATTAAACCTTTGTTCTTTATGAATTACCCAGTCTCAGGTATTTTGTTACAGCCACACAAATGGACTAAGACATTGTTGTTTTAATGAGCCCAGAATTTCTGCTGATGATTCTGAGGTTCTATGACGTGAAGCTATAGTGGTTAGGAAAGTCTCAGTTCAAAGTGGATCAATGTCAGGTTTGGAGATTCTGGGACGAGAAGTGTGGGTTTTGAAAAATGCTTTGGTCTGAAATCCTGTAATGGGTGCCAAAGATGCAAATGCTAGCCAAGCATGGTGGTTCACGCCTGTAATCCCAGCCCTTTGGGAGGCTGAGGCAGGAGGATAATTTGACGTCAGGAGTTCGAAAACAGCCTTGCCAACATAGTAAAACCCATCTCTACCAAAACACGCAAAATTTAGCGTGGGTGATGGCATGCACCATGGTCCCAGCTACTCAGGAGGCTGAGGTACAAGAATTGCTTGATGGCCGGGCGCGGTGGCTCAAGCCTGTAATCCCAGCACTTTGGGAGGCCAAGACGGGTGGATCACGAGGTCAAGAGATCGAGACCATCCTGGTCAACATGGTGAAACCCCGTCTCTACTAAAAATACTAAAAATTAGCTGGGCATGGTGGCGTGTGCCTGTAATCCCAGCTACTCAGGAGGCTGAGGCAGAATTGCCTGAACCCGGGAGACGGAGGTTGCGGTGAGCCGAGATCGCGCCATTGCACTCCAGCCTGGGCAACAAGAGCGAAACTCCGTCTCAAAAAAAAAAAAAAAAGAATTGCTTGAACTCGGGAGGTGGAGGCTGCAGTGAGCCGAGATCATACCACTGCACTAAAGTCTGGGCGACAGAGCAAGACTGCATCTAAAAACAAACAAATTAAAAACATTAAAAAAAAAAAAATTTTTTTTTAAATACTTTTCTGGGCCGGGCGCGGTGGCTCAAGCCTGTAATCCCAGCACTTTGGGAGGCCGAGGCGGGTGGATCACAAGGTTGAGAGATCAAGACCAACCTGGTCAACATGGTGAAACCCCGTCTCTACTAAAAATACAAAAAAAAATTAGCTCGGCATGGTGGCACGTGCCTATAATCCCGCTTACTCAGGAGGCTGAGGCAGGAGAATTGCCTGAACTCAGGAGGCGGAGGTTGCGGTGAGCCGAGATCGCACCATTGCACTCCAGCCTGGGTAACAAGAGCGAAACTCCGTCTCAAAGAAAAAAAAAAAAAAGCTTTTCTGGACCAAGCAGGCAGGGTGTGGGGTGTACAGATGTGAGACAGTGGCAACTGGGCACATAAGAGTGAATACCTCCCCTACAGAAAGTGACTCCTACTCAGCTCCAACAAACTACTGCCCCAGTGGGATGGGGGTTCAGCGAAACAGATCGCGCAATTTCCAAGTGTCCAGAAACTTCCATTTTTTAAATGTGAAATTACCCATTTTTCAACG